CGTTACATTGGGTGCAAAGGTCACTTCTGGTCTCGCGAAAGAAAAAAAAAAGGCCGAACTTCTTCTCTCTAAAGCTAAACTAAATACGTTTGGGTTCGAATCTAAATTTTATTTCCCGGAACGGCCCCCAAATGTAATGCACAGCGCCCGTTTCGCTGTCACTACGTATGAACCCTAAGCTATGCGACTATGCGCGCACACTGCTTCTAAAATCTAAACTCGTGATTCTCGCTATTCACACTATAAAACCCATTAAATATTCAAAAGGTATTCGAGTTCTCGGATTTCTTCGAAGGGGAAAATCCTCAGAAGAACAGAACTGCTCTGACCCTCGACGAGGGTCGGCATCTGAGTCACAGCCTCGGCCTCACACCCAGCCCCCACGCTGGTGCAGGCCGGTGAGCAGTCCGTTCCTATTATACTGCTTCTCTTATGTAAAGATGCCCTAACTCCTGAGATATCCTATAGTATGTAATCCTTTTCATGATACTAGGTCTCTAGAGGCCACACAGAGGAGCTATTGTAGTGCCCGTGCACTACAGTTGGCTTGCACTGCCAGCCGAAGCGCGGCGCGTTGCAACCCCATTTCTCGCTGCCTCCTCCCCGCAACACCCAGGCCCTGAGCTCAACGCCCAGGATGCCCAGGTACCGGGGAAGGAGGTCAGCTGCTTTTGGGAAACTCTTGCTTTAAGTCTTTGCCTACATTGCGGCTCGTCTCTGGCCAGATAAAGGCCAGAGAACAAGCGTTACAGGCCTAGTATCATGAAAAGGATTAAACACTATACAGTACCGCAGGAACTAGGACACATTTATATAGAAAAGATGCACAATAGGATCAGAGTGCTCACCAACCAGCACTGGCTTGGGGGCTGGGTGTGAGGCTGAGGCTGCGACCCTGGCACTGATTCTCAGCAAGGGTTAAGAACAGTTCTATTATTTTGGACTTTCCTTTGGGGACAGATAATATGAACGCCAATGCGTTTTGGTTATTTAAGGTGTTTAATAGTGGATTCTGCGAGAATCATGTGTTTAGGTAGCTAGGTGCAGAGTATGCACTTAGTCCGAATAGCGAAGGCCAGCTGTTCACTACACTGAGGGCTCTCCCCACATTTCATCAGCTTACTGGGCCGGCAGTACCTCTAGTGTTATGGATTCGTATCATTCGTATTACCCCATCGTTGAGAGAACTTGGGTCCCTACTAGGCCTCACAATTCTGTTTTTCATCTGCGTTTGCGTTGTCGTCGGGGGCACAAAACGCAGAGCTTCTCGCATTGACTGGTGCATCTACTGACGAGTGGGATCAAGTTCTGAGGGCCATATGATCCCTAAGGCCCCGTACTCCCCTTAGGCTGGCGCTTCTGAAGGGGAGTTTCTCACACGTAGAGCCGTATCGTAGTAGAAGCTGAGCGAGGTGTTCAGTACTAGTTGCATTGCACACTGCTGAAACTACTGCTTCAATGTAACTCCGCACGTGTGCACAACTAGGCCCTATTGATGCGCGCATTAGCGCTATAGACGGTTGCTGGGCACTATCTTGGATCTCATTATCAGCCTGCATTGCACGAAATGCAAAAAACAACTCCTTATAAACAACACTATATCCTCCCCCATCCCGTCCCCCAAAAGGTACACAACCTCGTGCGCTCTGTCGATAGTAATCCGGAGAAATAAAGGTAAATGGAAAGGGAAAGGGCAAGACATAGCCTGGCGATGCTGCTGCGCTGTGGTGCTGCTGCAGCCGACTCGCAGTTCAACTCGTGAGCTTCTCAGCGGGGAGGCCACTGGCCGTCTGCGGCGCTACAAGAATGCTAGTTAAGTGCCCCGTTTTTGTACCGTGCATCCTAACCGGGTGAAAAGTAGATGCAGAACCGGAACTACTGCGAAGCTTCCGTTCTCGGCTGAACAATGCTCGAGCCAGCCAGAACGTACAGGGCCCAGCTAAAAAATGGAAAAATTGAACCTGCAGTCGGCAGCTGCGTTGGGCAACCTATAGATAGACGGGTTCGTACCGATTTCGTTTTGCGGTAGGGGATAAAGAAACGGCAACCGCAGTGGAATCTCCTCCAGTTGCCCTGTTGCAGTATGGCGTTGCTGCTGTTTTGTCTGCAGAGTGCCTGAAGATTTTGATGATTATTTAAACATTTGTACAGAACCTATAGTAATAGTATGGTGACATCTTCATGTTGGCGCAATGTCAACGGTGTAGGCCAGAGCACTGAATCGACAACGTATAGTAAATGCTCCTATCCAAAGCACGGCGAACTTCTTTGGCTGTTTACACCCCTACGCGCTCTGTAGGG